GTATAGATCAGGATAAACTACCCAGTTGGAAACACTATAGGACATATGACTAGAAGAAAACTCACACTAAAATATCTTCTCTCTTCCTCTCCTGAAATCTAGAATTGTATAGGTAATGTTATCAGTCAATTAATAAACATTTATTAAGCATCAACTGTCAGCCAGGAAATGTGTTAGGTGCTGGGGACACAAAAGAACAAAAACACTCTGCTTTCAAGGAGAGAAAACAAGTTTATATATATATATATATATATATATATATATATATATATATATATATGTGTGTAGAATAATTAAATGTAAAGAGAATACATTTTAAAAATACAAGGTAGTTTCAGAAAGAACAGTAGGAGTTTCGGGGACCAAAAAAACCTTTATGTGGAAGGTGGGGCTTGAGCTTTGAGGTGGGAGTGCATTTAAGGCATGGAGGATAGCTAGTGCAAAGTCACAGACTAGAGACAAGAGATGTGAGATGGAGCGCTGGATGGAAGAAAGAGAGAGAATACCAATTTAGCTGGACCACAGAGTACTACAAAGGAAGTAATTCACTCTGTTTTGGGTCCTGCTTCTGACTCTGGATGTTCTCTCCCATTTCCCAGAACCCTTCTCACTCTGGAAGATTCCTCTGACCCAATAGTTTCTTCCTCTGATTGGTCAGTTCCTCTTAGAACCTTCATTTTGAAGAAGTGTCCAGGCTGGGGATACAAAAAGGAAAAGACAGTTCCTGCCCTCAAGGAGTTCACAATCTAGTAATGTGGAAATATCCACAGCAATCAGGAATGATATGGCAAAGGAGCCTGGGTTAGTACTAAGACAGGTAGGAGGGCAGCCAGTAGAGAGTAATGTCATAGAAACCCAGAGAAGAGAGACAAACCAGGAGGAGAGGGTGGTCAATAGGGTCAAATGTAATAGAAAGGTCAAAAAGAATGAGGACTGAGAGAAGACCATCTGATGGTCTTTTGCCAATCTGATGTGGTAATTAAGAGATAATGAAACCTACACATTTTCTTCAAATTATTTATAGCGTTATTTTTAAGTACACTTCCTCAGCTGTCACCATATTCTCTTCCTGCTCCAGCTATTATACTTTCCGTTAGAATCTGCTGATCTGGTAACCATTTTAATGAACTGACCTCTTTATTCCCAAAGATTAACCAAAAAGTACTTTTTAAGTACATATTACGTTCCAGGCACTGTCCTAAGCACTGAGGATACAAAGAAAGGCAAAAACACTATCCTTGGCCTCAAGAAGCTCACAATCACATGCCCATAGATTGGCAGAAAAAACACAAATACCTGTCAGATGACTTCATACTGAAAGATTTCATAAAGTTCTTCTTTGAAATATTAAGATGATGATACAGTTCCACCACACACTGAGCTGTTTTTTAGTAATTGATTATACTTGCAGTTTCATCCATACCCTTTCATGCTGCTGCCCTAGTGGCACAGCTAGATGAGATTTAGGATTCAGTCTAAGGTCATAGAACAAATAACTCGTAGGTGTTGTAATCTCTAGGTCTGCTTCAGTGGATGGAGTTCCCATAGAGATGAAATCACAGGTCCTTCACATATCGTTTTATACAACATATCTCATATCAATATAACTATTTTATAAACATTTTATAATTAACATATGGCTTATTTTCAGCTGATTCCCCTATGTTAAACACCAATGGTAAGGCCTTAGGGGTGTGGAATCTGAAGTGTCTAGGCCACATGTGGCTGTCCAGGTCCTCAAGGGCAGCCCTGTGACTGAATCCAAACTTCACAGAACAAATCCCTTTAACAAAGGGATTTGTTCTGCAAAACTTGGACTCAGTCAAAAGGCCTCATCCAAGGACCTAAAAGGCCACAAATGGCCTCAAGGCTGCAGGATGCCCACCCTTGGCATAGCTGTTTAAAAAGAGACATTCATAATGCCAACTATTATACATTCCAGGGAAAGGATAAATTAAAAAAAAAATACTACATGCTTGCTAACACTGTTTAAAAGAAAGATGTGCTAATGAACTGGCAGAAGTTATATTAGTGTTTGATTTAACAGAGATCACTTAAGTGTTTGTCTGACATTAAAAAAAAACAAAAACCAAAAAACCAAACAGGAGCTTTTCCTCCAAGTACAGAAAAAAGGTTTCTTTGGATTGATTCAAGTAATTAAATTAAAAAATTTAAATATCTGTTGTTGTTATCATCTATCACCCAGGTTCACACTCCTAATGATCAACTTCACACTCCTTACATCTAACCAACTGCCACGTTTTGTCAATTCTACCTTCACATCCTTTCCTCACGTAGGCCACGGCTATGTGGCTTATCGTCTCTCACCTACTGTAATAACCTCCTAACTGGTCTTCTTGCCTCTAAATTCCACATTTTCCCCTAAGTGACCAAAGCGATACTCTTCTTGTTCATTTACTAAGGTGATATAGTAAGAAGAGCTTGTACAAAACATTTTCCTTAAAAGTCAAAGTGATGTTCTTAAAGCATAGGTCTGATCCTGTCTCTTCCCTGTTCAAGAAGCTCTGGTGGGTTCCCCTTGCTGCTAGAATAAAATAAGAACTCCTTTTTTTGTTATTAAAGCCCTTCACATTCTAGTTTATTATATATTACTCCCTTTACTTAAACTTTACTTGATACTTGCGGTCCTTCACCCAAGACGTTACATTTTCCCATCTCTGTGCTTTAATGCAAATTGTCCTCCGTGCCCAGGTATGGACCTCTTCTCACTCTTGCCTGTTAGAAGCCTTAGTTTCTCTTACAACGCAGCTCAATTCTCCTATATTAAGCTTTTTCTTTGGCAAGAGGAAGCCTTGGTGTAGTGGAAGGTAAACTGGCTGTGAAGTCACAGAAGCTGGGTTCAAACCCCAGCTCTGATACTACTGGTATGACCTTGGACAAGTCACTTAATAACTTCCCTGGGCCTAAGTTTCCTCATCTGTAAAATCAGAAGGTTGTCTAGTATAAGGATATTGGACTTGGCATCAGAAAGACCTGGATTCAAATCCTACTTCAGATACTTACTAGCTGTGTGACTATAGGTAAATCACAATCTCTTTGTGCCTCAATTTCCCCATCTGTAATACGAAGAGGTTGGATTTGATGGAAGGGACTCTAATGACCACCCCCCCCCCACCCCAGCTGCCAGCCTTGTGTCCTGAAATTATTTAGTTTGTATATATTTTCTATTTATTTATATATGTATCTACTGTTTCTTTAAACAGTAAGCTCCCTGAGTGTAGAGGCTATTTAATTTTCATCTTTTCACCTCCAATACCTGGCACAAAGTAGAAACTTAAAAGACACTAGTTGATTGCTAACCTGTTGAAGATGGTTTACTCATAAACTTTTTCACATTATTTTAGTTATCATAACTTATTAGAACAAATAATCAAATCATCGAAAGCAGCATGGCATAGTGGATAGTTTACTAGGCTTAAGAGTTAAGAAGACTTGGGTTCAAGTTATGCCTTGGACAAATCTTAGCTGTGAACTCACACACGTGGCTCTGGTTAGTTCTCTAAAACTACATGTTGCAGAACAAGCTGTCCAACTGTACGAAAGAGTTTCTGGGAGTTCCCCTACACCTCATGCAATCACATCTGTACCAAAATTACTTTTAAAAAAACAAACAAAAAACTCAAATCCACATACAAACATGCAAATCAGTTTCCTGATGTAGCAGCAAAATCAATCTGAAAAAGGGCTAAATGGAACACTTTTAAAATCTACATCTGAACTGAAAGATTACTAAGATTATGATGAATAAGAACAACCTTTCAAAAGAAATTGTTTGAATCCTGCTTTTTAAAAATTTGTCAAGGATGAACTTCTACAATACAGAGATAAAGCTGAGGACAGAAAAGATAACATTTTTAAAGTACAAAGAGATCTGATCCACTTAATAGGAAAATTCCTAACTATTGTTTTCCAATATGCAAATTCTTGTACAAAGTTTAGTTTTTCAAAAACTAGTATGGTAATTCCATGGAATAAGGTTCTTCGACCTCAACTTAATTACTGAAGTACAAAATGGAATAATTATAAGGTAATCTGTCTCTATTCACTACATTAGAGGTCCCTAAATAATTACAGACCTGTTTTAGTTACTTCTACTTTGTAAGAACACATCAGGTTATTTTCCCAACAATCTCAACTTCACTGACAATTAACCACTGTTGGTTGCCAACCACAGGCTTTTAGACGTGTAAAAGCCCCACTCACTGTCACTTGCCAAATAGATTCCAAAAAAAAAGTCATACTGAACATTATGATTTGTTTTTAAGCATCTCACAAATTTAAAAAAATTAACGAGGGATAGGAATTGCATCAGAAGCCGGTAGTAGTCACTAACTAATTGCCCACAAGGTTGTGGTGAAGATCACAAGAGATAACATATGTAAATCTCTCTGTAAAGCGCTATATAAAAAGCTAAAACTGGAAGCTAAGGTACCATGAGAATAAACGAAACTTCAGAAGGCATCAAAAGTAGTGTTTCTTTAAATCACGGAGTCGTCTGGGGGAATGTAGGACAAGTCATTAAGAAAAAGCCTGCAGCACGGGGCTGAGAGCGAAGCATGAATGGTGTGCGCCGCTGCCAGGGCCGGCGGAGGGCGGAGGAGGCGGCGCGCGGCGCCGGCAGCGCTGGGCTAGGGGATGCGCACCGAGGCGCTCGCTCTCCGTGGTGCGCGAACCTGCAGTGAGAGAACGTTCGCCTTCAGTCAGGAATATCTGAATGGAGCAGAGAGCGAGGACGGGCACCACGCTGCTACCCACTCGCCCCAAACATCATCGAGACACTTGGCTGGAAAACTGTTTTTTAAAATTTTCCTCCTTTATCCCTCTGGGCTCTGCGGGGGGTCGGGGGTGTGTGTGACTGAACCTCTTTCTTCTCCTCCAGCGGCCAGGTCTGGGGGCAGTGGCTGCCTGGGGAGACGAGCTGGGTGTGGGGGAGCCCCGGAGCCGGAGCGCGGCCGCCCGTCTTCCCCTCCCTAGCTTACCTGCCGCGGCGTAGCTTGACCCGAGCTATCCAAGGAGCCGCCTCCATCGCCAAAGCCTTTCGCCCCTCGGCCCGGTGGGGGGTGAGGAGAGTGAGGCCCGCCGCTCCGGCTCCTCGTGCAGCCCCGCCCAGACTGCACCCCTCCTCCTCCTCCTCCTTCTCCTCAGACTGGCTCCCCTGGGCTCTCGTTCGGTTTCCGTCTCCGCTGGAGCCGTCTCCTCTTCCGCCCGCCAGCTAAGTCGACACCGCCACTTCCGAGTTCGACTCCTTCTCTTCCTTTCACAGCCGCTCCCCTCCCTGCCGGCTGGTCTCCTAGCAACCGCCTGTGTGGCGATGACGGCATCATCCCGCGACCCAGCTCCCCGAGCCTCAGCGCGCCTGGGGGTGGAGCCGGCTCATTAATGTCGTCATCTGTGCGACGGCAGAGCGCGGGAAACCGCCAGGAGCTTGACTGGTTTGTCCGCGGTTCTTCTTCGGTCGTCTTTTGTCGGGTTAGATTAGGTGAGTAGCGGCCACGGAGGCTCTGTTTTTCCGCCCTTTTGTCCACGGAGAGAATTACTACCTCGTTGTCTCCAGCTCCATTCTTGTCACGGTCCTGGGAACTGACAGCCCCTTGTCCGGGCTCTCCCGGTGTGAGACAGCTCTCACCTCTGTCCCCGGGCCCACTGTAAAGACTACACCATTTTTCCTTTCTGTTTCTATCTCTCTGTCTCTCTCTCCTTCCCCTTCTCCCTTTCCACTCCCTGTCTCCCTCTCTTTCTGCTGAAAGGTTTTTGTTGCTCCCTAACAAAACAACTCTTGGAAGTTCAGTTTTAAATTGATGATTTCATCTTAAGTGCTCCATCCTTCCTTCCCACCATCCCCATTCTTCACCTAAATGCATATTTGTCAGTTTTTATCCAATTCAACAAACATTTGTTAGGAGCCTGCTAAGGCACTGTGCTAAAGAGGATACAAAAAGAGTCAATACAGCCCCTGCTTTTAAGGAGCTACAATTCCACGGAGACAACATCCAAGCAAATTTGTACAAACAAGCTTTATACAGGATAACTAGGAAAAATTTAGAGAGGGAAGGCACTGTAATTAAGAGGGGTTGGGGAAGTGGAATTATTTGTCAGTTTATATTGGGCAGGTGTAGGACTAGTACTGATATAATTCAAGAAGGGGGGGGGGGGGTGAGAGGTAAAGATTCCAAATCAGAAGAACTATATTCTAGGAAATCAAAGAGTTCAGGTTATCAGTCAGCTTTTAAAAATGTTTAAATATTGTATTGTTTTCTTTTTTTTTTTAAACATAGCTGTCATATCACAATAATCAATTCTCCACAGAACCCTCCCTCATAGCAAAGATGTATAGTTAAACAAAAACAAACTCAGGCTTTGACCATATCTGAAAGCAAATATGCTTCATTTCACTCCTGTACTAGACCACCTCTGCTGAGAGGAAGTAATAGTTTCATCAGCTCTCTAGAGTCAAGGTTATTAATTACATTGGTCTGTGATGTTTATCTTCTAGTTTTTATTAGTTAATTTAAATTGACTGTATTTTAAAATTTTAGGTAGGTTTTCAGAGAAACCTATTTCTGATAGCAAAAGGAGAAGATGCCTGCCACACAAATGCCAATGAGATATGGACATCCAGAGGGACATACAGATGTTTGTTTTGATGATTCTGGGAGGTAATGTATTTTCCTAATATTTTATGCAGATATGAAATATTAGCATAGTAAACAGAATAATGTTTAAATGTGTAAGCTTTAAGAAATATATTTTTGTATGTTAAATATCCAGTTGACCCACAATTATTCAAATTATTCAAATAATATAATATAGAATCCCAAATGTCAGATCATAGAATCACAGACTTTGGAACTGTTTTACAGTCAGGAAGTCCTGAGTGTCAGTTTTTCACCTCTAAAATAGGGATAATAACACCTGAACCTCTGTTAAAATTAATTATCTGAAATAAAAGGAAACTGAGGACAAAGTTACCTTACCTAGCATCTATGATTTAATTTGCAAAGCTAGCATTTGCATATCAGATCAGGTCATCTGACTCCTCAGATGTCAGAGACCCAGAGTGATTTACAGAGCCAATTTTTAAAACAGAAAAGAAGAATTTTAAAAAATGGCAGAAACTTGTTTTGAACATAATTCAACTGGACAAGGCAGGTCACCTGACTAGTTAACGTCTCCTAGATTTTCTTAATCCTTTCCCAGAAGTCCTTGCCTTATAGGTAGTACCTTTTATAACCAGAAAGCATACTGGGAAAGAGGAACTTGTAGTCAGTAGTTGGAGTCACACACACTCATACCTCCCTCAACCCACCCATCTTCCTTAGAAGATTCTATTACTCAGCTTAGACTGTAACTCAAGAAAAAAAGGCAGCTTATCCAGTAAGACCGGAAAGAAGTTCGGACCCGAAACCTATACCATCTTCACAGTGCTCCCCTTTGCTATGGCCATGACAGAAAAACGTGTATCTAGCTCTGACTTTGGTAAGCTGGTCTTCATTTGCCAGCCTTCTTTCGCTTAGAGCTGTACCTGCTGAGTTCTCTCACAACAAGAGCTGTTTGTTTTTCAGGTCTACTAGATTTTGTGTTGTCCATAAGTGTGTGCACTTATGTACCAATGGTGATTGGAATCATTTTTGCAAAAGGCTTCGCACACTTTTTTGTGTTTTGACTGCAAGATAGAATTCCCGCCTGCTGTGCTAAGCAGGCCAGACTTCGGTTAAGTGAAGCAGACTATTTTTAGGGCACCTTTTCTAGTCCATTCATCATGCCAGGAGGTGAGCAGTGCAGTCTTTGAAAAAAGTTGCTCAGACACCCAGGGGGCTGCCAAATCCCACTGCTGCTTCCGTCCAGTGAGAAGATGACCTTGTAGCCTGGGCTGCTTGTGTGTAGGGTTTTGACTACAGCTCCCAGTGTTATCTGCTCCTGCTGCTTTGTCACTTTCCTGTTGCCACAGGACTTTGAGGTAGGTAAAAATGGCGAAATGGTATCAGTGTTGTCTTTTGACTTGCCCATAAGATAGATTTAAGTGAGGCAGAGTTGTGTGAAGTCATTGGATTCACTCTGTCTTCCAGAGTCATTAGAGTCCAGTGGCAAGACAAAAGTCAAGACAACTGGTGATGGCTTAGGATATAGTGGATGACCTTGGCCTCTTCAATGTCTAACAAAGCTCTAAACACTCCACAGTGCCTGCTTTAGCCACCTTCATGGCCACTGGAACAAATTGTTCTCATCCACCCATTCTGCCGGGTGAAGTCTTCACATGCCTGGGGTAGACACCTCCCTAACTCACGAAAGGGTATGAGAACCGTCAGTTACCCTCAGCCTGGTTTAGCCCATCTGCTGAAATTGTTTACTGGGATGTGGCTGCTATGCATGCTTCAGCTTCTTAGAGCCACAGGTGAGAGCTGAGTGAATCAGGTGGATACCAAAGGTGGAAAGCAACCCGAAAAGGGCAGCCCTCACATCAGAGGTACTAGTTTTCCCTGAACACCTGTACAGCTTGGAATATTGTGTAAGAAGACTGGAAAGGAAGAAAGGGGCCAAGTAGTAAAGAACATTGAATACCAAAGAACTCTATATTTGATGATAATAATAATAATAACTAATATTCATTTAGTGCTTACTATGTGCCAGGCACTGTACCAAGTGCTTTACAGTTATCTCATTTGAACTTCACAACAACCCAGGGAGGAAGGTGCAGTTATTATCTCTATGTTACTGATAAGGAAACTGAGGCAGACTGTTATCAAGTGATTTGCTTAGGGCTACACAACTAGTAAATGTCTGAGACCACATTTAAACTCAGGTCTTCCTGACTCCAAGCCCAGCACTCTCTATCCGCTGTACCTAGCTGGAGAGAATAGGGAATCACTGGAGTTTATTGAGCAATGACATGTCCAGACCTATACTTTAGGAAAGTCACTTTGACAGCTAAGTGGAGGATGAATTGGAGTAAGGAAAGACTTAAGGCAGGAAGACTAATTAAAAGGTTGCTAAAATAGTCCAGGTGAGAAGTGATGATGGCCTGAAGTAGAGTGGTGACTGTGTAAGTAAAGAGAAAAGAATGTAAATGAGAGATCCTGTGAAAGTAGAAACAACTCATTGGATCTGTAAGGTTAGAGAGAATAAAGATTTGAGGATGACATCAATGTTGCAAAACTAGGTGACTGAGAGGATAGGAGAGGGTTCAATAGAGAAGTGCTGAAGAAAAGAGTATTTGAGTGAAAAGATGAGTTTAGTTTTAGATATCTTGAATTTGAGATGCCTATAATAGGACATCCAGTTTTAAGTGTCCAACAGATGATGAAATGAGAGTAGAGCTTTGGAGAGACAAGACTAGACATATAAATCTGGGGATCTGCCTAGAATCTGCCAGTTTATGAAAGCAGATGAGATCAAATGAGAGTGTGCAGAGAAAAGAGAAGGGGGTGAAGACCAGAAACTTGGGGGATACTCGCAATTGGTGGGCGTGACATGGATGAAAATATAACAAAGGAGACTGAGGAGTGGTCAGACAGCTAGGAGGAGAAGCAAGAGAATAGTGTTATGAGAGGACAGTGTATCTAGGAGAATAGAAATATATATTATTATTATATATTATTATAATAGTAACATTAATATTGATAACATTAAGATAGTTTATCAACATTATAACTAAATAATATAATCATAATATTATGATATTGAATAGCATAAGTACTATTTTGTTATATTAACAATAGTAATTATATTATTAATATTATCACATATTATATTATCAATAATATTATCAATATTATATTATCAATAATAATAAAAACTGGTATTTCTATAATACTTTAAGATTTGCAAAGTGCTTTACAAATATTTTTTCATTTGACCTTCACAACAACTCTGGCAGGTATTATTCTCATTTTACAGATGAGAAAATTGAGGCAGAGGGTGGTTTCATGGCTTGCCCAGGTTCACCCAACCAGTAAATGTCTGAGGTAGGATTTGAATTTAGGCCTTCTTAACTTCAGGTCCAGTGTTCTATCCACTGTACCACATAGCAGCCAAGTCAGCATGTCAAATTCTACAGAGGTCACAAAAAGTGAGGATTGAAAAGACACTAGGTATTGGCAGTTAAGAGATTATTGATAAATTTAGAGAGAGCAGTTCCAGTTGAAT